GGGAGGACACAAACTAGCGTCCTCCCGTTACCCTAAGCTCAGTATACCGCGAGCTACAGCTCGCGGTATACTGAGACACCGGAGCGGATCCCGACGTAGACGGGATCCGCCCAGCTGCGTGAGTGACAGCTGGCTCTGCCTATCTAGAGGCAGAGCCAGCTGTACCCGCCCCCTCCCCTGTCCGTTCCGCCAGTCAGCGCTGGCAGATCGGAGCGGGGAGAGGGGAATCCAGCCCTCCCCCTGTCACGGCAGAGAGCCGTGACAGGATCGAGAGGTGAGCAAACCTGGCATGTGTTCGCTCACCTCCCGATCTACTGAGCCGACCTGTGACAGTCTCATTGTCACATGTCGGCTAGAACTATGAGGTGAGTGGAAATCACTCACCTCATAGTTCTCCTTTAAGAATAAGCTCCAAACACATCTTGAAGCATGGATTTTAAAGGAGAACTATGAGGTGAGTGATTTCCACTCATCCTCATAGTTAGAGCCGACGTGTGACAATGGTACTGTCACATGTTGGCTCTATTGATCGGGAATCACTCGCTCACTTCTCGATCATTTCCCTGCAGAGAGCCGTGACTGTCAGTCACCACTCCCCACAAGGATTCCCTCCCCTCTCTGATCCTCCAGCGCTGATTGGACGGGGAGAGGGCGGGCACAGCTGGCTCTGCCTCTAGAGAGGCAACCTGCCAGCGGTGTGGATCTCGACAGCCCGATATATGCTGAGTTTTGGGTCACGTGAGGACACAATATATGTCCTCCTGTGACCCTGAGGAAAACTATGGGGGGGGGGAAAACATTGCCCCATAGTTCTGCTTTAACCATTTGCTGACCGGGGTGTTTACAACCCCTTCCTGTCCAGGCCATTTTTCAGTATTCAGCGCTGCGGTACTTTTGGTTTATTCTGTAATGCAACGCTGTACTGAAATTAATTTTATATCCTTTTTTGGGGACAGATAGAGCTTTCTTTTGGTGGTATTTAATCACCACTGGGGTTTTTATTTTTTTACTATATAACAAAAAAAGTACCGAATATGAAAAAATAAAATGTTTTTCCCTTTAATATTTTAGGAAACATTTATTTTTACCCAATTTTTTGGTAAAATATAAAAGACGGGGTCACGTCGGGTAAATTGACACCAAACATGTCATGCCTTAAAATTGCGCGCGCCTGCGAAATCGCAAAAAAACACAATAGCCAAAATTGGCCATAGGCCACGATTTAAAAAGATTACACCGTTCATCAGTTTAGTGTTATCAGTGTTTAATGGCCCTATAATTCTCATTGCGACGTTCGCGACGATATGTAACACGTGTACCATAATTGGGGCAATCGTCTTTTTGCGTGTAGCCGCATCTAACGCATTTTTGTGCATCTATGTGGGGGACTTTAAAAAAAAATTTGTGGGTTTTTGTTTTGTTTTGTGTGTGTAACTTTGTATTTATTTTGTGAGCAATTTGTTTTTTTATTACTTTTTTTTTACACTTAACTTTATTGTTATCACATAGGGTGCTAACAAAGTAGCCTATGTAATAACAAATTACAGTGACAGGTCCCCTTTATGGAGACATCAGGGGTCTCTAAGACCCCTAATGTCACCTAGGAACCCCCAGAGAAGCTGATGAAGCACAGATCTGCTTCATCAGCTTCTCTCCGGTTTCTGTACCGGAGAGTGACAGAGGAATGCGGAAGTGATGTCATATACATCACTTCCTGCATTCAGAGACCGGGAGGAGAGTGGAGGGAGATCGCGTACTGACCTCCCTCCGTTCTCAGTGCACAGAGCCGCCATATCGCCCGAAATGGATGGATCGAGGGGACGACGGCGACGGGAGGTAAGGAGGGGGCGCACCCTCACTTGCATCATACAAGCGATCTGGCGTCTTTACAGACGCCGGACCGCTTGTATGTAAACAGCCATCGCTGGCTGTTTAAAATCCAGGCGGTTTCCCGCTCGTGCGCGCCCACGTAGGACATCTAAAAACGCTGGCCCGCATCCGGGAGACTCCCGTCCAGCCCTCTTTCAATGTTCGGTAGACGGGAGGTGGTTAAAGAAGAACTCTGGGCAAATAAAATCTTAACCCTTGCACTGGTGCTACCTGCACACTGCAAGAGTTAAGTGCTCATTTTGTCTAGGAGGCTAAAATAACAAAAGTTATACTGACCTGAACCACAACCCCAGCTCGCTGTTAGACCAGATTCTGTGAGTCATCATGCCCAATACAGTATATAACGTGAGGACACCGAGGGACATACCATCACTGGAGAAGAGGGGGAGACAGGCTGCAGGGACTGGAGGAACAGACAGCTACATCCAAGGTTCAGGTGAATATAATTTAGTTATCTTATTGCTGGTCCACTACACAGGGTCTATGTTGAATGTGGGTCGCGACCGTGTGTTCTGTGGGTCGCATGCATACCACTTGAGGTGGGATGGGATAGGGCTATGGCCGCTATGCACATCCATATGTGCATTGCTTACGGCTTCCTCACGTGTCCTGTAGAGGTGACTGGATCGGAGTGATGTCACATTCTGGCTCCCGGCACCTCTATAGGGCATGTAAGGGAGCTGTACAAACAATGCACATATACTGTAGATGGTGCTCCGTCACAGCACAACAGCCCACACTGGACCCCAGGCTGAGGATCCACTCCAGTTCTCATGAGGTAGGCAGACATGGGGGCCTTAAAAGAACATTTAAAAAAAATAAACACATTTTGGAGTGTGTATGTGTGTGTGAGAATGTCTGAGCCTGTGAGATTGTGTCTGTATATGTCCGTGTTTTTTAAGGCCCTTTCACACTAGAACAGTGCGTTAAACTGTACTATGCAATCGAACCTACCATGCATTATGGTGTGGGAGGTGTGTTGTGTTGCCATTCATTTGAATGGTACCCCAAACTCACCTCCCACCCACAATTCGATCGCCCGCACCAGAACACACAATACCCTAATGCCATGCAGTGCGACTTGGGTCGCGACTTAATGACTAAGGACAAATGTGGGTGCTGGGGTTACACAGGTTGAGAACCACTGGTGTATAGGATGTAAGGACACCAAAGGATATTCCATCACTGGAGCAGTGGTAGAAGAGAGGTTCAGGTGAGTATTTCTTTATTATTTTAGCTCCCTAGACAAAACTGGCACTTAATCTTTGTTTTAGGGGTAGTCCCACTGCAAGAGTTAAGATTTCATGTGTCTAGAGTTCTACTTTAATTCCCATGGGAATGGGGCCTAAATCAGCAAAAGCTTCTGTTATTTCCCTCCCACAATCATACTTTTCCATCATAATACTGAATAACTTTATTAAGCAAAGACCCTATTTTTCTCCCTTGAGTGTTTTGGTGTGTTTTTGCACAATTCTCTGCACTCATGATGGTTTTTTTTTTGAGTGACACATTCAGGGCCGGTTCACACCACAAAGTCTGCGTTCTAGAGCGTTCGGCCTCTGGAACGCACTGCATTCAGGGGCGGGAGGAAGCGTGGTGGTGCATTGAAGTCAATGGCACCGCAGCCACGCCGCGCGCCCGCAGTACAATCGCCTGCACCCAGAATGCAGGCACATTAGTGCCTGCGTTCCGGTCTAGTGCAATCTGCAAAAATGCTGCGTGCAATATTTTTGCAGACCGCACTGGACCTGAATGCAGGGAGCCGGCCAGCTTGCGTTCCAGAGGCCGAACGCTCTGGAACGCAAATTTTGTGGTGTGAACCAGCCCTTACAGGCCTTTCCATTGAAGTCTATGGGGCTAAAAACACCCGACACAGCCCCAAATAAAGCTCACGCACCTTTTTGAGCTTCAAGCAACTTAGTGTTCACATGTGAATAGCCACAATAAAAAAAGATGGGAATGCCGATGTTGACACAATTCCAAGCGCCGTGTTAAATGTATGTTTTAGCGCCTGACAAACTGCTTTCCATTGGTCAAAACAAAAACTGTGTAAAAATGTGTGCAGAGCTTGCAAAGTGCTTTAAAAATGTGTTCATGCGTGTACAAACATGCAAAAAAAAAAGCTCAAAAATGGCCAAATATACACGCTTTGCTCAAATGTGAAGTTGGGCTAAATTTCTCCTAGGGTTCGACTTTACCCATTCATAACATATACGCTGAGCGAGTGCTGAGTGTTAATCTTACATATACCAGGAGACACTGCCACACTGTTTTAAGTGTCCCTTCACATCCTCCTGAAGAAGTGGCTGATGTAGAGCCATGAAACAGTGTACTTTATTTTTTTTCTTTATTCAATAAAATTTAAAAACTGACAAAATAAATTGAGGGATAGGGGGAAATGCAGGCTAGGCGATTTTTTGATCAATAGCCGTATGTGCTCCCGAGAGGAACTTACCGAGTTTGTTGAACCA